AATGTTGAGCAGCCCAATCTTCATGGAACAAAATAGTTTTATTCATGGGCTGGAGAACTGCATTTTGATAAGAATCAAATTAAAATGAAAGTTTGAAAGCCTACCAATTGCAAAAGTAATATTCAACCATTAGGCTTTTGATTTTGTGATCAAACTACTTTCGATTAAACTACTTTGGCCTCCTTCCTATACGTCTAAGTTTGATTGTCGACAGAGATGCCCCCCTTCCGAATCGATTTTCGGGCTTATAATTTTTTATATCTGTGAAATACAGTGCATTATCGAGCAACGAACATCAATGTTCAGTGCTGATGTTGTCATCAAATTGAAAAACAATGTTTAGAAAAAATACGAGAGCGAAACAGATGTGGATAAGAAGAAAATGTACGAAACCTCGGTGAGACAGGCATTTCCTCTTGTACAGCAGCTTTTGTATGTTCAATAAGCAAATTTTGACGGTTTTCCGAATATTTAGATAGGAAAAGTGGATGATTGTGCTCAACTTCTCGAGAAAGCTTTGCAAAAAGGAGACAAAGCAGGTATACATTATGCCAAAGTGAGTTTAAGCATGTTCGTATTTTCGAGAGCTAACATTAACTTTTTGCTTATCGATATTATTCATGTTGTGTTCAGGACCAACTTTTGATTGAAGCCCGAGATGTTCTTTCTGAATGGCTAGATGCTCAGTTTGGAAGCGCTGTCAATGATCACAGCGTATTTGATAATCTTGCCAAAACGTAGGTGCTTTGTGGTTAGGCTGTGTTCTAGCTTCTGCTTTGCTTGGCCATACGTATGCCCATGCCGATCCGAACCTATTTCACGTCATTTGACAGCATTGACCTTCAGGTACGAAAGAGAATTTCTTTCGGATATGGCGCGGCTGAACGTTCTACCTGCTGACGTTGTTACCAGGGTCTCGGAGTACATACCCGAGATTGTCACCTATGTGGAGAAGATCATAAAGAATGGATACGCTTACAAAACTGATGATGGCTCCGTAGGTTTTTCGTTTGCTGAAATTCGCCATGGATTATTAGACTGTTCAATTGGATTTTATGTTTATTTCAAATTACCAACTTTCCTTACAAACTTCCTTTTGCGCGCTTTTGTACGGCTTCCTGTTTGCTGCAAAATGTCCAAGGTAATAAAAAGGTTGGCCTTTTACATGTGGCATGGGAGGAGGTGGTGTAGTGGCAAGTGGCGCACTATCTCAAACGTACGGCCAGGGCTTTGAATCCCGGATCGATATCCGCCTAGGCCAACTAAGCCGTCCATCTCTCCGGGGTCGGTTAATTAGTACCAGATTCGTCTAGAAAAGTAAAAGCAGTGACTTGTACATCGGCTGGCCACCGCAAGTCATTGTATAGGCCACATACGCACTCATTACGCCACTACGATTCTGAATGGAAGTCGAGTGCGGGGCACATCCCTCTGGCGGGGTTGATTTGCGCCAAAACCTTCATCCTTCACTGTCACTGCTGTTGAATATTTTAAGGATGCGAAAGCTAACTAACTCATCAATGATTACGTAAGAATGCTCGAGAAACCGATCATAGAACGAGGAACATAATCTGAAATTCCTACTGGTCATGCCACTGCTTTTTCCGAGTCCTCTTTTTTTATGGATGAATTTCAACTTTTCGATGTAAATAATGCCCCGTGGCAGTCGCCTTAAGCGTCTCGACTGATTTTCATAGATGTCCTTGCCAATCATGGGACTAAGAAAGGCGACTCTGACCCTATGTCGATGACATACGGCTTCACTTATATCAGAGCCCATGTATCTCTCACGCGGTAGTTGAACACTACCTAGAACAAAACGAGTCTTTCTCTCACAAGTCTCAATTCTATAATGAATAAACAGCGATGCGTTCCAGGTCTACTTCGATACGAAAGCATTTGAAAGCAATCCTAAACATTTCTATGCAAAGTTAGTGCCAGAGGCCTATGGTGATTCTGAAGCTTTGGAGAAAAATATGCGAGAAGGCGAAGGAGAACTTAGTATGACAGCTGACAGGCTTATGGTGAGTGTTAAATTTTCACCGAAGAACTTTTGCATCTCTTTTACTACTTATCAATCCAATTCAGCAAAAACGGAACCCGTCTGATTTTGCTCTTTGGAAGTCGTCTAAGGAAGGCGAACCGTTCTGGGACAGTCCGTGGGGGAAAGGTACAAAGTTACATCTTTGGTGACTTGGTTTCACAAGTTCAAGCACATATTAATCTCTTCAACTTTTTAGTCAACATTATTTCATCAATTTCGTTGACTACGTGTATCACATCTTTTTCTTCATCTTTCTTCCTTTTTCATTTTTTCTTTCCTTTCCTTTTCCTGTTAACTTTTTTAATACTATCTCAGTAGCGCTAGTTTTTGAATCAACTGAAGTACATTTCTGTGCAACAGTTCAAGGAAATTCCCAACATCAGTGACATATTGATATTGACAACTTATTCAAGGGCGTCCTGGCTGGCATATTGAGTGCTCGGTCATGTCCACTGCAATTTGCGGAGATCAACTCGACATCCATGCAGGTGGATTTGATCTCAAATTTCCTCACCATGATAACGAAATAGCGCAGGTAAAAATTGCATAATGGGTCAACAATTTCTTGGGAAACCTTCTTGAAAGTATTCAATTAGTGTTCAGGTCGAAGCATACTACGACAAGCCCCAATGGGTTAATTACTTCATCCATTGCGGAACCCTTCGGATAGCTGGCATGAAAATGAGCAAATCGCTCAAGAACTTCATCACAATCCGAGAAGCTCTCCAACTTTACACTTCTAGGCAACTTCGATTTCTCTTTCTCATGCATAACTGGACTGATGTACTAGATTATAGGTATCTTTAATGGTCCACATTGTTTCTTTGATCATAACTTTTGGAGCCTTTTTCCAGAAAAATCTGAGGCTGAGTTCTTTCTCATTTGTTTCCTTCCAGCACAGCCACTATGGACCGTGCCATGCAGTTTGAAAAGATTTCTAACGAGTTCTTCTTGTTGGTCAAGGATTTGTTACGAAAACATTATAAGCCAGATAGTCCTCAGGTGAATACATGCCTTGCCCCTTGGATCTGATTTATTTCTGCTTTACGAAAGCAGGAAATCTATAGTGACTGATAAACTGAACCATTCCAGGGTTATGTAAAGTACGGTACTCGAGAAATCCAAATTATGGACGAATTCTCCAACATAAAGAAGGATGTCAGTTTATTTTTTTGTGTTTAGTAGACTTTTCTTCTAACTATTTTACTCCAGATTCATGACGCCTTATGCGATTCCATTGATACGAGAACAGTAATTGAAAAACTGCGAGATCTTATCGGCATCGGAAACGCATACATTAATGAGAAGGTGAAATTGCAGAAAATGTGCTTGCATAGTGTCCCTGTACTACTGCTTTTCAGGAAAAGGAAGGTGTTGCTCCAAACTGCCTTCTACTTCGGAACATTGCAGCTTTCATGACAGACCTTTTCGTGATGTTTGGAGTTATTCCAAAATCTGGAGAACTGGGTTTCCCAATAGACAGGTTAGAATCACTACAGCTTTTTGTATCAGATGGTTCACACGTTTCACGTTATT